CCAGCAGCTTCTCCCACCAACCTCTTGGAATTTGAAATGCAATGGAAATGAATTACACTGAAATGCAATGGAAATGCACTGATTGAGCCTTGTTCTGCTTTTAGATAAATGCTATAATCTTAGGCTAAGATTGATTTATGTAGCATACCCTATTGTTTGCAGATAATTATCTGTATAAGGTATGGTTATTATAAAACTTTGAAAACAATTGGTCACAGTTAAACTGCTTCTGATGTGCAGGTGCTTACAATATATTGTGCACGCTACATTGTCTTCACATACTGTGCAATTCATTCAGTCAAAAACTTCTGTCTTGAATCCATAAATGGGAGATCTCGTAAATAAAAACATTTTGCTACTTTGCCACCCTATTACAGACCCCTCACATCATGGACATAAATGGTTTCAACTTCTACCCTCAAAACAACGCTATAGGACTCTGCATATCAGAACAACAAGACACAAGGACAGTTTTCCCCCGAATGGCATCACTCTGCTAAACAACTAATTCCCACAACACTGTCAAATTAACTACTAAGACTATTACTATTCTTCTCATCCTTACTAGTACCTATGTCTTCCCAATTATGGCTATATCCATGTTGTTTGTATCTTTACAACTTATATTGTTTTTATTGTTTCCTAGCATGATTTGATTGTTTATTAGTATCCTATGACTATCACCAAATGTTGTATCTTATGATTCTTGACAAATATATTTTATTTTTTCTTTATGTACACTGAGAGTATATGCACCAAAGGCAAATTCCTTGTGTGTCAATTACACTTGGCCAATAAAGAATTCTGTTCTATTGTTTACAACAACTTTCTGAAATAGTTTTTGGAAAACTGGCATTTTGTTTCCTCATGATAATGTCATTTTCGAAGTACTGGAAGAACACATAATGCAAAAGCATTGTGTTGCATTGAAATTGGCTTGGCTTGGCCTTGACTTGGTTCCTGACTTGGATTTTTTAAACCCTCTGGCTTCCATGAAAACATCCCATAATTATAAACCGCTAACCATGGAGAAATAATATGGGGTGGGGTTTTTTTTGCTTTACTTTATACATATTGTACATACAAACTGACTATAATAGTATAATGTGACTTTTATGGTAAATGGATATAATTTATTTAAATTACAATGTTTTACTATTTTCAAATAAGTGTTATTTAAAACATTTACTATTAGCAGAGGATGTTACGTAGGGTATGTCATTTAATGGAGTGAAAATTAATTTGCATTTTTTTTTCAGTGAGGGGTTCTAAAAATAGGTGTTTTTACACCAAGAATTCAAATCTGTTATTTTTGCAATTGCACAATGCTTAGCATGGTATGGTAAATCCACGTCTGATCATATACCCCACAAAAGCCTCTTGTAACTCAAATAGTGTTAACTTTATCTTCTCAAAATTACACCTTGTACTACAAAAATTAGGTTTTTTTCTGCATAAATCTTATCTAGCTAAGCAAAAAAGAATCCATGTAATCATAAACTAACATCAGAAAGCAATTATCTGAGTTACAAAAATGTTTAAACGAGTTTCATCAAGTCTTGTTTTGATTCGTTCTTCAATATCACCCGCCCACTTGCTTCTTGGCCTCTTATATAACCCTCACATTTTTCATGTGTATACACTCTGCTTACTGCCTCTGTGACCTGTTTCACACCTCTCTATTGGTTGGGCATGACAGAGCCACTGTGATACTTGCATTACTTCATCAACGACCTTTTTCAGTTCCACTGTAGTCAATTTGAACATCAAAGGTGGCTCATATACATCTTCAGACCAGTCAATTAGCTCCAGCAGAGTGCTGCAGCTGTGGATGCAGGGTGTTTTTCGTGCATATACAGAAAAATCTTGCAGTGCATCTGCACCTCTTAAGTCAATGATCTTTTGCACACCAACTCTCCTCTCTCAAATGTCATCTGAACACAAAGAGTGTTGGGATTATCATTTCACTGAAAGCATATCATGCTGAATGCTGAATGGTTGGCAAAACAGTATCTAGTACAGCCTTCTTTTGCAGTCTGACTTGTTGCAACTGGAACAACACTTTACACAAGCCTTTAATCCAGGAATGTTTTACTTCAGGGGTCCCCAACCACCGGTCCCTGGACCGGTACCGGTCCGTGGAACAATTTCTACTGGGTTTGCTGGGTGCCGCCATCTTGTTTTGATGAAAAAGTGCTTCTGGTGAGCTTTTCCGGGTAGAAAGCGGTGTTTGGGTGCTGAAAGAATCCTCGCGCCTTAGTTTCATCGAATGGGGGGGCGGCTTCGAACAAAACTAAGGCGCGAGGATTCTTTCAGCATGCATGGCAAGGCGAGCCGAGTGACCATCCTGAAGCCGTCGCGAAGCCCATCGACACAGGTACAAAGGAGGAGTTGAAGGTGGCGGGGAGAAGCGGGGGACGGCTGGCTGGCCGGTCGCTCGGCTCGCCTTGCCATGCGTGCTGATGCCGGTACTGGGCCGCGGATGATTTTGTGATGCCGGTACCGGGCCGCGGCACAAAAAAGGTTGGGGGCCACTGGCTTACAGCAATGCAGTACACAGCAGCACTGGTTTCATTCCATTCCAAGTTGCTATTGACCAACAATTTAAGCCTATGCCTGAACTGCCAGTAAAGGATCCACTAGTCACTTTGTTGAAGGACTGGATCTCACAGTTGCAAAACACTTGGCCAATTGTTCGTAAGGCCCTGAATGAATGCTAAGGCTGTTTACAAAATCTAAGCCAACAAGAAAAGAATCGAACCTAAGGAGTTTAAAGTGGAGGATCATGTTTATCTGTCCACACGGGTCCTCCAATCCTTAAAACCCTCTAAAAAATTGGGCCCTAAATTTGTAGGTCCTTTCCTAATCAAATGCATTATCAATCCAGTTACTGTGGAACTGGTGTTGCCTAAATCGCTGAAGAGAATCCACCCAGTGTTTCATTACAGCTTATTAAAATCTGAGTCAACCTCACCTTTATGGTCAAACCCCTCCTTCTATCCCTGAAACTTTTACGATTGAAGGTGAACAGCATTTTGAGATTAAGCAGATTCTGGACTCCTGGGTCCATTGAGGGAAGGTTCAATACAGTGATGGAATTCAAATTTTTTTTACTACCAGTTCTGTGGGCATGGCTTATTTGGTAGGTGTGGCTTAGGGAGTCATGTGACTGGCCAGGTGTGGCTAGGCAATCAGGTGACTGGCTGGGCATGGCTTGGCAGTCATGTGACTGACTGGGTGTGGCCAAGTTGACATCACTGACTTCTGTGCCCTAATGACCTACAAAAAGAAGATATACAAAAAGGTAGTTTATTATTTTTTGCACTTACTGCTTTCTAAGCAGTCACCATGTTTCCAGTGTCTTTCTTTCCCACTTGGAACTGAACCCAGAAGGCTATTTCTTCCAACAATATCAAAATGAATAAAAAAATATTAGAATGTGCAGAAATGAATAAATTAATTACAAATTTACAATCAAGGAGAAGGCTTAGAATACTTTTTAATGTAGAATTTCTTTTATCAATGGCTAACTAACAGAACCAGAAGTTAAAAATGTAAAAGTATAAAAGAAAACACCAATTTTATAAGGAAAGTTCAGTAAAAAGCATAAGCAAATATTATTAGTATTTGATCATTGTTAATGTGTAGATAACTTCAGGAGCATATCCCCCAAATAATGCGGATAAAACCAGTTTTTTACTTAATCCCCAGACAAAGCCACTGCAATAAAAACCTTGGGTGCATGATTGTTGCCCCAATGACCCAAAACCTCACACCAGAAATCTCAGCCCTTCTGCCTTTAAGAAACCCCCAGGCAAACAAGCAAGGCAACAAGAAGCAACACTAAAGTACAGCCATTATTAAGGTAACTCACCTGGAAGTCCCCTTTTCCTGATTCCTGGTAGAATTAACCACCATGATAGGAAAGACAAAAGACCCAGGCAAGAACAAAAACAGAGCAATCATGAACACTTGAAACTCATCAAGCAGGCTCAGTTCCAGAAATCTCAACATGTTAGCAACAGCTTTACTAATAGCAAAGCGTTATACACTAAAACAAGTTATCAATTTTCTTAGAAAGTAAAGTTGCTTGTCTCATAAAAGCAGCTGGACTTCATGTAAACTGTCCCCTGCCTGCTTCAAGCATCAACTTCATAAAATGCTAGGACATGTTCTTATCATAACTACACAACTGAAAAAAAAAAACACTGTAACTGGATTGTAAGCAGACCCACAAAACTATACAACTGAAAAGAACAACTATCACATTTACACGCACACACTCTCACAAAGCAGATACAGCTGGAAAAATCTAAAAATATAGCTTTAATTAATTTATAGGCACATAACATCTCACACAACTTAATTTAAAAGAACTTACATACACACACAATGACAATCTCACAAAGCAGCTGCTTTCTAAAAATAGAAAAGCAGCTAAAATTTCCCAAATTTTATATGACTATTTCCTTAAAAAAAATCCTAAACAAAAGTAAAATTTCCTAAATTTTTTTAACACACTGTTGTTTTTTTTTAAAAAAAAACATCCAGTGGTCTTCAAATCTGACAGCTTTAAGACTTGTGGACTTCAACTCCCTGAATTCCTCCTCCAGTCATGTTAGCTCAGGAATTCTGGGAGTTGAAGTCCACAAGTCTTAAACTTGCCAAGTTTGGAGACCCTTGGTTTAAATCATGAAAAAAAAGGACGCTTACTTATCCAATTGAAGAAAGCAGGCAGGTAGAATCAGTTGATCGCCAATGAGCTGGATGCAGAGACGGGCAGTACAAGCAAGGCAAGAGCAGCAGCAAAGGGTAGCGGCCACAGCTGGCAAGAAGCTCCAGGGGCATTCTGAAGCCCAGCGCCTGGGTTGGACAGCCGCAATGACTAGCAACTGTCCCACAAGGGACCCCCGGTGGCTTGGGCAGCTACACCAGGCCATGGCCTGTAGGCCCCAGCTGCTGGAGGCTTTCGGAAGCCCAGGGTTGAGCCCAGGTGGTGGGAAGAAGTGGCCCCTGGTTTTGGAAGCCTGGGGCCAGATGGCAGGGGCTAGCGAGTCAGTGCTCACCTGGTACTGTATGCAGGAGGAGGCAGGTCCAATGCAGGCAATGTGGAAAAGTAGACTCAACTCAAGTCAGCTTAGGCAGGCAAGCCACAGAGAAGACTAGCATGCGCAAGCGATCAGGCCACATGGAGAAGTGTTTTTATAGGGGTGGGCTTGGGATGGGTGGAGCGAGCGGTGAGCATGCAGGCGGGGCAAGCGAGGGGTGGGAGGGCAGCCAGGCAGAGCAAGCAAGCAAGTGGTGACCATCGGGGGACCGGGCGACCAGTTTGGGGGCGTGGCCAGCCAGAAGTCGCTACCGGTTTGGCGACCCACACCAAATTCTTGCTACTGGTTCACCTGAACTGGTGTGAACCAGCTGAATACACCACTGGTTCAATACCTAGTGGCATGGAAGGATTTCCTGGGTTTTCAAAGTGAGTGGGTTGGTAAATCTCATGTCTTTACATTGCTTAAATGCTTCCACACCCAATATCCTAACAAACTGAAATGACCATATTTTCCTTGTTTGTTTTTGCCTTTTCCTTTTGCAGATGCAGATCTCCTTCTTCTAGAGGGGCAGTATGTCAGGTCCCTGTCAGAGCGTTGCCATGCTGGACAGGAGAGGGGAGGCATTAGAAATAGTTTCCATACTTTTACTTTTGCTGTAATTGCTTGGGAGCTTGAGGGAGGAGAGGTTCATACAATTTCCACCGACCCTTCCTGACTGGTTTGTGCTGAGTGTTCAAGACCGCCATGGTCCAAGGATGTCATCTTCTCCACCATGCTGCCTCAATGAAGTCAAAACACCTTTGCAGCAAATCATTGACTAATTATGGGCACTGTGTATTTGGGTGGGGGCTGAAAGGGAAAATTAGCTTTACGCTTTGCGCCTGATTCTCAGACTGCCTGGCTTTTCTGCAATCACTCTCTCTCAGTAAAAGTTCCTTTCGAAATGTGACTCATTTCAAGAGTTTTACTTTCTTGGGAAGGGAGTTAAGGCACACAAAAACAGGCACACAAAAAATACAGAACCGTTTTAAGGGAAACAATTATTTTGGGATGCTCTTTATGGCATAGATTATTAGAGGGACCCGCTATCTCCTATAACCACAGACTATTTAGTAAGCTCAGGAAGAGTTGGCATGTTTCAAGTGGGTTTGATGAAATAATGCAGTCTATATTGGGACTTAGGGAACCTTCTTATGTGTTGCATACCTGCCCTCTGAAAATATTTCCCCCCTAGAGAACCATTTAGTTCCCATCCTGATAATGTTCTGCTGGTTTTCAGAAACCTGACTGTAATGAAGAAGAGGATAATATAAAGTGAAGAACATCCACGCATTTGCAAATGTGGTAAAATTAACAGTGTTTTCTACAAGTTGGCTTTTAATTTACCACATCCAATCAAGTATTTGAAACCTGACAGCTTTGCAGAAACGAATACTAAATATAGATGGCAACAACATTCTGCTTCAGAGCTGAGCTTGTGGCTCTCATTAACACATTCAAGTGGATCTGGAGAAGACAAAGAAACAACATTGCTGATATATGCATTTTTCCAGCATTTTATTGTGAAAGAAAATATAAGATTAATTGAGGATGGTTTAGTTGTGAGTAATATTCAGTTCTCTAAGCCTTTAAATGTGTTAAGAATTTATTCTTTCATTAACTGAAGTAAGTATTTATTGATGTATTTATTGATAGCTTTTGCATATTAAAGTTATTGATGTGACATATGATAGTGGTAACTTAAATAATTAGTCCTGAGTCCTCTGTAAAGAAAGTTTCCATTTCCTCTGGTCAGTCTGAAAGTAAAAAATGGATATAGCATTATGTTTTTAATTGTTCAAGAATCATAAATGTATAATGGGATTGCAAGTTTTGGGTATTTCAAATGATATTTAAAATAAATCACCATATATTTATATTAGATAAATATATTTGAGTTAGATTTAAGTAACATCCTATTTCCTAATTTTTGTTTCATGCATTTAGGGAAAAATAGAGTACCCACCTTTAAAGTATCAAATAAGCTCAATACTGGTGGTATAGATTCAGAGGATTACAGAACATGTTTTCAAATGCAGTCTGACCTAGATATTGAGCTTATCCTGAACGGCTTCCAAAGGGACAATCCCAAAATAGCAACAACGACATGGCTATTGGATGTTATTCCTTTCCAACACATCAAATTTTCCCAAAGGAACAGTAACCCATCTGTTCTGAATTTAATCTGTATTTAATCAATGTTGCATATATAATTTTCTAATCAGCATGGCCCGTTCTTTATAATTGCAGCCTCTCATTACAGCCATCAATATTTGGAGCAGAATGAAGTTTTCTGGGTTTTATGATGTCATGATGTTTGAAAGAATCCTGTTTCTACAGCTTTCACTAAAGAATTGAACATTTAATTGAAATTAAAAGTGGTCTGTGTTTAAGTTCTAAAACTGATGGCAAATAAGCAATCAATGAATCAAGAAGTAGCAGTAAATAAAATTCATATATAGTATTTGTATAACATAGGCTGAGTAAGCAGTGTAACTCAACAAAATTTTGCAGCTGAGCAGTATAGATGTGGGGAAATAATAGATTTAAGGAATTCAGGCCATTTGGAAAGTTTGTATATGATCATTCACATTTACATATTTACATATAGCTTATGCTGCATGACTAGGACATGTTCCTTTCCCTCATCTTGAGCATGCTTGACTACAACAACTACAAAAATCGAACAATCTTTTTTTTTTCTCATTTTAAATAAAGTCTGTTATCATTTCATAGGTATCATGGAGAGTTCATCTGAAAGTGTCTTTAAAAATTCACATGAAGAAGGGAAACTTTATGCTGTTGATTCACTGAACAATTTAAATGAACATATTTCTGCAGTTCAAACTCAGCTCCCAAGTATGTATGCTACACAATATTTTGTTAACAGTTTTCCAGATTTATGTATACAGTTTACTTGATGGCATTTAACAAGATAAATATGTTCTCTGAATGGTTTAGAAAAATGAATAGAATAAATAATTAAACAAGAACAAGAAACTCCTGGTCTTCTGGATGATGCTGAATTGGAATTTCCAATAACATCATTGACCATGCAGGTCAGAGCTGCTGGAAATTGTGGGTTAATAATTTCTGGACAACCATTTTCCATCCTTTGAAGATTTCAGCACATTTGGGTTTATTGAGTTAAAATTAACTTCTTCATAGAGTAGAGGGTATAATACACTATATATGTATTATAGCTTTAATCAATATGAATTTTTCATAGTTTAAAATATTTCATTCAAAGTTTATAGCAAACCATGGCTAAATATTTTAGGCTACAGAAATAAAGATTGTAATTTTTAAACAATTATTCATTAATAGAGTAAAAGTAATACTGTATAAACTTATTTTAAAAGATTGGTTGGTATTTATACTATACATGTGTTTTTGATCCTGTTTGGCAACTATTATTTTTTTTTTACTATAAGTCAAATAACCTTTAATCTGTATATTTATCTCTTGCATTCAGTGGTGGGATTTAAATAATTTAATAACCAGTTCTCTGCCCTAATGACCAGCTGGGTAGGCATGGCTGGGTGGTAATGTGACTGGGTAGGCATGGCCAACTCCATGTTACTCACATCGAGGGGCACTTCACCTCTTGTGACCATGGTAATGCTGCAACAGTTGTAAGTGTGAAAAACGGTCATGTCACTTTTTTCAGTGCCGTTGTAACTTTGAATGGTCACTAAATGAACTGTTGTAAATCAAGGATTACCTGTACAAAAATACAAAAAGCCTCTTTCCTTGAAAAAAGCTGCCCTAAATACCAATCATTAGATTAGAAATACCTGCAAGCCGGAGTTACAAATCAGGCAGGGTGCCAGAGCACCTTGAGGAATTAAAATAGTTAAAATCCAATGAGAACTATCAGCAGCCAACTCTTGCTCATAAAGTGAAACCCTTTAGCAGAGAGTCATTTAAGCTCTCCAGAAAGAGCACGCCTAGGAGAAGCAATCCTTAGATCCATTTGCACCACTTAAAGATACCAGCTGGTCTCACCTCACAAGATATCCTAAGGAAATCATCCAGATTTAAGGAAAGATGTCGTCCAGTACCAAGTTGCATCCTGCCTCTTGGAAGTATACCCTAAAAGGACAGTGTCCGGAACCACTAAAGCAGTGAAGGAAGACACTCTCCCTCCTGCCATGAAGCAGGAAAAAATTCAAACATAATACAAATAATTAAATCACAACAGTTTAAATCCTTTTAAAACTAAAACCAAAGCCTTGTCTGGCTCATTGCCAGAACTCACACCCCAGGCAAGCTCAAGTGTAAACACTTGATATAAGCCTAACTAACAAAGAATACAATTAGTGCTACAATGTAGCAAAAGAGCAAACACAGTAGCTGTTGCTTGTTAAACCAATTACCAGAACAAATAGACACAGGAACTAGCCAGATTTCTCAACCCTGCTTTTCAGGAACAGAGATTAACCTTTTGCCTTCCAAACAAAGCTAAATAGGGAAAATTATCCCATCAATTAACACAGGATTAAGCATCACCAACCACAGAATTAAACTTCAGCAAAAAACAGTTTTAGACCCAAACTGAGAAGGGTATATAAACTCACATTTGAATGTCAATCTTTCTAGCTAGCCAAGAAGCCTTGCTGAATGTCACTCATCTTGGTTCCTTGTCATTAAATGCTTCTTTCCAGCAGCTACTGTATGCTTCATTATTCGATTATTTCTTCAAAGCACTGATCGTTGCATCCTGGCTGGAAGAACTCCAACAGGGGAGTATTTCTTCCCAACAGCAGTGTAAAAAGCTTAAAACAACCCTTCCCCTGTAGGAAATCAAGCCCCTAATAAAGCAAAGCAAAGTACCAGCAAACAAACAAAAACTCTGGAGAAGCTCAGGTGACAGTTAAGTCTGGGCATACTGCCAAGAACATTTAGCTGTTACAATGTAATAAGAGTTAAGGAAAGCCAGTTTCTGTAAGCAGGGAAATAAAGATTAGGCTAGAAACAACACCAGAATGCTTCTTTCCTGCCTTCTTTACAGGATTAGTCCTGTAAAGTAAAAACAAAAGATTTCTTCCAACAATCAGTTCTCTGAACTGCTCAGAAAGTTAACAAAAGATTGAAATAAGGACTGGCATGCTGGAATTCATATTCTTGATGAGATTCACTTTCCTATTGTGATATATCAGATATACTCAGTGGTGGGATTCAGCTGGTTTTCACCAGTTTGGCAGAACCAATACCTAATTTTTTGTTGAGTTTGGCGAACTGGCTCCCAAATGGCCAGACTAGCGTGTTTGCTGCAATCTACCTTTGCAGCAAGCAAGAGGGTTGGAGACATGTGAATGCATGCTAGTCTCAAAAAAACAGGTTTTTTCCCCCTGCTCCTGGATTTTCACTGCCAAACTGTTTAACTTTCTTTAAAGTTTACTTGATGCCCACTGTGAAGGATCCGCATTCTGCATCAAGTAAACTTTAAAGAAAGGTAAACAGTTTGGCAGCAAAAATCCTTCCCTGTATGTGAGACCAGGGTTTTCCCCCGCCCCGATCCTGAATTTTTGCTGCCAGACTGAACTTCTGCACTAGGTCTGCAAATACCAAATGCAGAAGTACACCTGCAGGAGAGTTATGTCTCCATGCCATTTCCTAACCCCCCTTCCCCCACATCTCATTGGCCATTGTTAGGAATATAAGTTACCTAACAGCTATTTGGGTTGGAAATATATAAACCAGGATAGACATTTTAATATTGTCTCTTTAAGAGAATCCTAAAAGTGTAATTGGGTGTGGTTTCTCAAATGGCCATAAGATGGAGCCAGAAACCTGGGTTGTTTAGTCTTAGTCTTAGTCTCAGAAGAAGTCTCAGTGAGTCTCTGTTTCCTTCTGTTGGAGAGTTTTGCCATTCCTCTATTGACTGCTATTCTTGGATTTGATGTAAGTCTGTTACTGAACTGTTTTTGATACTGGAATTTGATATTTGGATTATCCCTGGACTGAAAACTGACTGATCTTACCTGTAAATGACTGCTTATTTTGAACTTTGCTTAAACCTTTACCGACAGTAAAAACCTACATTTACTGAACAGTGTATCTGTGTGCTGTGTGTGTATTATTCAAACACTACTCCCAAATATGTCTCCCTGTATGCACTCATTCTCCTAACAGGGAATTACCTCAACAGCCATCACCAAATGATGGACTAAATGGAGCTTAGTGAAATTATTAGGAAATCAGTTTCTAGTTCTATGCCACACTACACTAAAATATAGTGGATTAGTTTACTATTTAATGGGTGGCTAGAACAGAGTTTATACCCAGGAAAAACATATTCCAACTCTGTTGCATCCTTAACTAGTACCAATGGCGGATTTCGCCCTAAGAAAAAACCCATACTGTATTGCATATCCAAACTCTGCACATTAGAAACCCTTTTGAGACAGTTGTAACGATTGAGGATGCACAAAGCTGAGAGGGAGTAGGAACTGGCAGATAAGGAGTAAATTGGCACTCCACATGTGCAATTCTTTTTTTCCTTTTTTAATTTTTAATGTTAAACATACATCAACATACACAAACAGTGTGGCATCAGGGTATCATTCATTTTGAACCAAATAGCAATAATAATGTTAATAATATTTGTAAAATTTACATAATCCTAGTATTAATACACCAGTTTGTTTTGTTCATAGTTATTCAATGTTTCAATGTGCCATTTTAATGCCAATCACATTATTTGAGAATGCATAGTAATGACATCTTTCAACCTCTAATCTTTTCATCTAATTATTAGTTTTATTCTGTTATATAAACTGTGTATGCTAATATTCCCCCTATTTCTTATTTCTACCTCTATTCTAGCTTCTAATCAGACCATCATTACAAATCCTAATTTTTTTTAAATAAAGTTTTTTTTGGGTTTTCACAAAAACAAAATACAAATAAAACATCTTTTTTGAAAATAGCATGGTCCTGGGTTGAATTTCTTTATACAGACACAAAACTCAATTTCATGCTCCGTTTTGTATTCTATTCCATATCTTATACTATTTTACATTTTCTATATAGTTTTCCCCCTCTTTTAATTTTTTCAATTTTATTTTGAATCTCATCTCAATTCAAATCATTATATTTATACTTTTGTCTGTTCTGTTTCAATTTCATATTATCTTTTCTCATTAAACAAATTTTCTCCTGTAGTTACTAATTGGAGTATGACACCTTTATATCTTTTAATTACATCCATTCAACTCTTATTTAAACTTCAATATATACCTTAAGTTTATGACCTTCAATATAATACATAATACATAACTTCCAATCGAATTCTGCTTGGTACATTCTTATAATACACATTCTTATAATACAGTTCAGTTCTATCATTAATAATCATTAAAATCTTAACATCTTTAACACTTCTTTTCAATTAAATATCATATTTCCTTAAAAATACATATAATCTCCATAATTAATGTTTCCCTTATTTCTCTTCACATATGTTTTATAAATCATTAAATATACCTTTTGTTACATTTATTTATTGACAAGCATTCCACTGAATTACAATAGCTATTTTATCAGACATTTTAATCAGACATTGTTTCATATTTTCTAAAATTATTTCTGCTTCTAATATAACCATACTATCTTATGTACCTTTGCAGAATCCCTTTTTCCATTAAGTTTTCACCCATTATCTCTAAATAGGCCCTGTTTCTCTATGTTTTGCTTCTGTCCTTTATAACTTCTTTTCCTTTCTTTCTTCCCTCTAATCTTCTCCCCTTTTTACTCCCTTGTCTCTCTAGTTCTAATTCTCTCTTCTGCATTTCCCTCTTCTGTTGCTTTCTGATTTTATACTTATTTTTCACTCTATTTTGGGGGGGAGTTGTTTTTCCCAATCTTAAACTTTCCATTCTCTTTCCCCCCTTTCCTTCCCCCCCCCCATCTAAGATTACTTGTTCATTAAAGGTGGCTTCTTCTTTGTCGCAATCTTCCTGTTCTGCAGGCATTTCTTGTTGTTTCTCATAATTCCAAATCTCCATTTCTAAAAACTGAAATACGAAGCCAAAAGAACCTCTCCCTTCTTGTGCATCTTCTTTGTACTTTTAAGTTCCATTTTCAGTTCTTCTAAAAGTGGAGCCATTTTAAACAGTTTTAAACAACCACCCGATTGATTTTAATCATTCAAAGCAATAACCAAGAATCCAGAAATCATCAAGTAATCCAGATAGTCCCGAGTTATATCTTCTTATTTCTTTTTCAACTTTCTCTTCCTGGGGTTTTTGTTGTGATATTTCAGTTAGAATGTATCTTTTGGAAGTCTTGTTGAGATTTTGCTATAAGTTCTTTTTTAATTCCAGGCAGTCTCCTCCCTTCCAGATCCTGCCCTTTTATTCTTCCTCTCTCCTTTCCTGTTTTCAAAAGCTTTTAATTATTCAGAAATCTTTATTATCCCTTTGACTTTTTATTTTCAGCATTAAATGCCTATTGATGTCAAAGTGGATTTTTTTCCAATTTCTTGCTTAAGTCTCTTAGCTGTCAGTATAGGAAAAGGAGAAAACCAAATCTTTTCCCTTTTCTCTCTCCTTCGCAGTTTAAAAATCTTCTTAGGGAACAATGTTATTGTTTTTTAACAGTTTCAATTCCAGGGTACCTTATTTGTTGCTTTTGCTGTTTGACCCGGTCAACCAAAACTTTCTCTTCTTATCTTCCTCCTGCACATTCTTTTCTGGTCGGGTTCTTCTTTGTGGTGGCCATTTCTGACCACCGCTGCAACCGCCTTCGGGAAAGGGAGTAATAGCCAGCTGGGGAGGAGAGATGCGGCTCTCCTCAACCCTGCTGGCAGTCTCCCCCCTCTTCACCACCTCTATGGGGTGGCTTAGCCCCGAAATCAGCCGGCTCGGGGCGCTCCAGCGGCACACACGGATCGAAGCCTCACAGAGACGAGGTTTTGGTCTGTCGCTGAAGAAGCTCAAACCGGAAGTCCGCCAAATCCTAATGTTAATACACATGCTTATATTGAGATATAATCCTTCATTATTTAGTTATTTCATATTTCAATGCTCCATTCTAGTGCCATCACCATACATACATAATAATACCATCTTTCAATGTCTAATCTTTCCATCTAGCTATTGCTTTATATAAAAGTGTGTATTCTTATTTCTACCTGTATTCTAGTTTTTAATCAGGCCATCATTATATTAAAAGATATTTCCTTTCTATCCATCATATCTTGTCTGTTTTAATACTTCAATTCTTATTCCTTTTTTAGCTTGCCTCTCATACTCCTCTCTTGGATCTTTGTCTCTATCTACATCTTTACTATTTAGTCTAAATATTTCTCCCATCTCTATCCTCGTATGCTGCCAGGACTCCAGAGTGTCTGCTCAAACCCCTATCTCCTTTTCAAAAGTATCTTCCTGCTTATCTGCTTCCATTTTTAAATCTCTTAAAGCAGGGGTCCCGAACCACCGGTCCCCGGACCAGTACCGGTCCGTGGAACAATTTCTACCAGGCCGCCGGTTTGCTGGGCACCGCCATCTTGTTTTGATGAAAAAGTGCTTCCGGTGAGCTTTTCCGGGTAGAAAGTGCCGTTTGGGTGCTGAAAGAATCCTCACGCCTTAGTTTCATTGAAGGGGGGGGGGCGGCTTCGAACAAAACTAAGGCGCGAGGATTCTTTCAGCATGCATGGCAAGGTGAGCCAAGCGACTGTCCCGAAGCCGTCCCGAAGCCCATCGACACAGGTACAAAGGAGGAGTTGAAGGTGGCAGGGAGAAGCAGGGGACGGCAGGCTGACCGGTCACTCGGCTCGCCTTGCCATGCGTGCTGATGCCGGTACTGGGCCGCGGATGATTTTGTGATGCCGGTACCGGGCCGCGGCACAAAAAAGGTTGGGGGCCACTGTCTTAAAGTACTTTTCCCTTTATTTATTTCATCAGTCATTATTATCTTTATTGTTTCTCCTTCTTGTCTTCTTGCTTTATTTGCTGATTTGTCTGTTCTATCTTTTCCTCCATTCTTTCTGTTGTCTCCTCTCTCCCTTATTAGATACAAAAATCTATTTTAAGAAATATGTTGCTATTTTCAATTCTTGTCTCAAAAATGCAAAAATCAGTTTTCAGTAACTGCAGTCAGGGGCTTTTATTGTTTTTATCCTGCCAATATCTCTGTCTTGTCAATCTGTGTATGTACAGTATATTAGCTCAAGATGGTTTCCTGTTTTCCCCACAAACATTAAAATGGTTTTGGAGGCCACAGGTTGTCCTTTCTTGCTCTAATAGTTTATTTATATCTGTAAAAACAAGTAGAAGGTAGCAACTTTAGAGGAACCCTATTAGTTAAAGTACATATTTCTGTATACTGTGTATAAATTTCAGCAACAGTTTTCAATATCTCATTATAAATAGCCTGTTTAGACCGAGTCTACTTCTTATGTAGTATATTCCCTGACAGATAGTTGCCAGCCTGCAATTTGACACATTCAGCAAAGGTCAATCTTGTTTTAATAATTGGGTTTTGAGCTTCTTCTGTCTAATAAGTTCCTGATAGTCAGAAATTATGTTCATATTCCCCATTGTCTTTTCTCAAAACTAAAAATATCCAATTCCCTCAACTTATCCTAAAACTAAGTTCCCAATCCCAATCATAAATCATTTTGCTGAAATAGGAAAAAACAGAAGGTTTATATTACCATAGGAGAGATAGTAAAGGTCACGTGATAGTGCTGTGTATCACTTGTAAGAATGGTAAATAAACTAGATTCAGTGTCTGGAATGATAGATAGATAGATAGATGATAGATAGATAGATAGATAGATAGATAGATAGATAGATAGATAGATAGATAGATAGATATGCAAGTTACAAAATTTCATTTTCATGTATACTAATTAGTATACATTCAAAGTGACAATAAAGTTATTCTAATCTAATCTAATCTAATCTTGGAGCCTGTTAAGCCTGGATTCCCCAACGGGTGTTAAGGAAAACAAACTAAACAGAATGTACAGCGAAGTCAGATAGGAAGACAGGTAAATGTGTGAGATAAGTTTTCTAGTTAACACGCAGTAAAAATACAGATACGCTTGTGCTATCAAAAATATTGTTTATTCCATTTAAGAATTATAGCATAGTCATATAAACGGTCCATTAGTCATATATCAATTTTAGTCAATTCTTGTCGGGGATACTCTATTTGCAAAGTCCGTGTTGTATAGCCAATGTCAGTTCACTTACAATAAATCCAATCTTTATCTTCTCTCCGTTGAGAAAATAAAACACTCCTTCTTCGGCAAGAACGCAGTCATCAATCCATCCAGTAATTAGTGATCAGTAAGACAGAGAGAGAGAGCTGGAATTGCCTCGCTTCTTATATAGTGCTTTTACAACCACACCCTTAATTACATTCTTGCTGTTAAAGTTACACACACTTTAACTAACAAACCATGATACCATATTTATTATTTTTACCCAAACCAGTTAGGGTAAACAATGTTATCCCTAACAGAGCCCATCCCCGTCTTCCAGCTCCACCGCACATGCAGGATGAGCCTCCCGCAACAGCCAACCAGATTCTGAGCCGGATTGCTTCAGCTGTGAGGCGCCTGGCCTAAGGTTTCCATCACCCAGGCTTCCTGAAGGTGATGGGAACTGTAGTCCTCTGCAGCTGAAGAGTCTAGCTGAGTGGAAGTTGAAGTTGAGCACACCAGTAAAGCAGTGGTACGCCCGAGCGAGGAAGTGTTACGAGCTTTGAGGGTGCAAGCATCTATTTCTGCAGCTTATGTGCAGAATTCATACCATGCCTTCCCATGGGCAATTCAAGGAGGCTAATTGTGGTAAATACAAATAATTTGTTTGAAAAATGAAGAGACGGATTACAATATTGATGATGAATGTAAATGAAAAGGCAGTTTCCAAAGCCTTCCTCCCCCACTCAGTGAAATCTGAATTGCGTCCCAGAGTGGGACATCTCAGGATGACCAGCTTTCTTTCCAGCTCTTCTCCAAAGGAAGAGAAAGCCAGCAAAGACTGCGGGGCAGTGCAGGCTGCTTCTGGAGGTTGCTTTGGGGTGAGGGTGAGAGAGAGAGAAGCTAATGGTTGAGGCTCCAGCCAATCCTCACCCCCGCCCGCCCACTAGATTCCCCGATCCAGGGACAGAAAAGAGGCAGCCTCTGCTTGCCTCTACCTCGGTTCTCGACATTCAGGTCACCTCACAGCCCTAACATTCAGGCTCTAAACCTAACCCTAACCCTTTCAGTGTATCGTTTTTTATACTTAAAATGGTTGTTAGGGCAGAGAACTAGTTGTTAACATTATTTGAATCCCACTACTGGATATACTGCTATTCATGGATCTGATTTGCAGCAGTAGTTAAAAGAGTAATTTTCATAAACACTGCCTGGTAGATAGCCTGTGTTCTTCTCAATACAGATTAACTGATTTCTTTCAAACTTTTTGATAAACTGTTTCAGTGAATAGGCTGTAGCACAGAGTGATTGTGTGCATATATCCCATGTTTTCTATCCACATTTCCTATATGTACTTTATATAATTGTGAAATAAACAAGTTCTTCTGGTGTAGAATTATAATATTTATAAAATGTTACAAGATTTACATCTTTAGTTTATTTGGCTGACAGTCTTGTAAGAGAGGAAGCATTGGATTAAATTCAACAAATACGATTTATTTATTCCATGGAATTAGAACAATTTATAATATTTATTCTTAATGTCCATTATAAGACTTTAACTTAGAATTTAATTTTTGTTTCATAGTGGTCTGCGAAGACAACATAGATAGTAATGGGTGTCCAATAATGCAAAGCGGCATAAGATGTCAAAGCTGGTACTTTGTCACATTAATCATCATTTTAATTGTCAGTCTGGCACTTGTTTCCTTTGTAATAATCTTAATAGGTAAGTAATTACACCTTAATTTTTAAGATATTGATGGTAATGGATGACTAAGCTAGAATGCTTATAGCATGTTCTCTTCATAAACACAACATAAACAAATAAATGCATATTGCATGCCGACAGTATGCCCTTTAACAGTGATGTGTATATTCAGGAGTTTTAAACCAACAGAAATTTAAAAAATATTTTACTGACTCAGTATTCACTTGTTTTACAGCTGGAGTGATAGAATTTTGGTAATACACAATAATTTTATTAACCTTCCTTCTAGTAATACTATTTTATTTGTTTATTTATTTGTTTGTTTGTTTATGAAAATCCTGATTTTCTACCACAAGTCATTTAAAGTGTTTAACAAAAAACATTCAAGCATTTGCAATAATTTAAAACAATTTTGAAAATATGAAAAATGCTTGTTAAATTTACTTATCATTATATTTGAAAGCTATAAATCAGGGGTGTCCAACCTTGGCAACTTTAAGACTTGTGGACTTCAAAGCTGGCTGAGGAATTCTGGGAGTTGAAGTCCACAAGTCTTAAAGTTGCCAAGGTTGGACACCCCTGCTATAAATGAACTATTGACCAAATGTTGGACAGTAAAGAATTCTATAACATGGGAGAATCCCAGTTCTGTGTGGATGCTGGTTTGATTTCAGGGAGAAGCATCATTTCTCTAAAGGAGAGAAGCAGAAACCCTAACTCTCTAGCACATCTTAAGAAATAGGAACATTTATGTAGATCAGTGGTTCCCAAACTTTTTCAGTCCACCGCCCCCTTGGTACTACAAACTCATCCTCAGTGCCCCCCACCCAGGGTTGGGATTCAAATTTATGTGGGCATGGCCTAATTTGAGGGTGTGGCTTGCTGGTCATGTGACTGGGTGGGCGTGGCTTGCTGGTCATG